CGCCATCTCCGCCTTCCATCCAGGCTCAGATGGTTTCTCGATTATTATAAAATTTTTTTTTGTAAACTCTATAGTCAGTCGCTTCTTCAAGGGTTTGGACAGGCTCTTCCTGTACACTCGTCAGCCTGTTCCAGCCTGGGACCTCAATCTAGTCCTATCTAGACTTACGGGCCCCCCATTTGAACCACTGGCCACCTGCTCGTTGTTGTATCTCTCATTCAAGGTTGCGTTCCTCATAGCAATTACCTCAGCTTGAAGGGTTTTGGAGCTCCGGCCCTCACGTCTGAGCCCCCTTACGCAGTTTTTCATAAGGAGAAGGTCCAACTTAGACCTCACCCTGCTTTCCTCCCTAAGGTTGTTTCACATGGCTCAGGACATTTTTCTCCTAGTGTTTTACCCCAAGCTGCACTCCTCCGATAGGGAGCGCAGACTGCACTCACTGGATGTATGCAGAGCCTTAGCCTTCTATATAGAGAGAACTAAGCCATTTCGGAAGTCCGTCCAACTTTTTGTGGCCGTGGTGGATAGAATGAAAGGTCTCCTCGTGTCCTCTCAGCATATCTCGTCGTGGATCAAATCTTGCATTAAGGAATGTTACGGCCGGGGGAAGGTGCCTGCCACGCCGATTGTTGCCCACTCCACAAGGGCAAGGCACAGGAAGTAATTCTTGCTAGTCTGCGCTGATTGGGCCTCAACATTTGTCCAGTTTTGGGCACCACATTTCAGAAAAGATGTGGACAAATTAGAGAAAGTTCAGAGATGAGCAACAAAAATGATTAAAGGTCTAGGAAACATGACCTATGAGGGAAGATTAAAAAAATTGGGTTTGTTTAGTCCGGAGAAGAGAAGACTGAGGGTGGGACACGATAACAGTTTTTAAGTACATAAAAGGAGGAGGGAGAAAAATTGTTTTCCTTAACCTCTGAGGATAGGACACGAAGCAATGGGTTTAAATTGCAGCAAGGGCTGTTTAGGTTGGACATTAGAGAAAACTTCCTAACTCTCAGGGTGGTTAAGCACTAGAATAAATTGTATAGGGAAATTGTGAAATCTCTGTCTAACCTGCTCTTAAAAATCTCCAATGACGAACGCCTGTCAGGGATGGTCTAGATAATACTTTAGTCCTACATTGAGCGCATGGGACTGGACTAGAAGGCCTCTTGAGAGCCCTTCCATTCCTACAATTCTGTCCTCCAGACAGTTAAAATCCTTTTAAGTCCCGTCAGTGCTCCAATACAGATATCTCCTCTATTTGTCAGGAAACTACCTTGTTGTAGCTAGGTTCCCCTGCCATTGTGATTATTGTAGTATAGATGGCCTTGCCTTGTTATCTAGCTGCATGTATAGCTTTTTGACATCTACAATTTAAGCATCTTTTTTATTTTGTGGTACTTCTGAAAATGTGGATACAGACTCAGGATTTCCTTAGATGTATAGTGTTTTGTCTTACTGATGCAAAAATGTATGTTTTGTGAAAAACATTAAGACCATGAGGGTTTTGGTGATAATAGCTCTCAAGAGCAATCATCTTGTTCAGAAGACCATTTTAATTTCGTTTAAAAACGTCCTCTCCTACCTTTTCTGTTTCCAAAACATTATTAGGGGTGTGTCCATAGATTTAACTTCTGTACAGATATAGGTTTTTTGATTTTAATACTTACTTGGCATATATTCTTATGCTGCTGTCTGCTGATCCCTTGACATTTTACTAATGTTCCAATGATGGACAGTTCTGAAAATGGTAATTCATTATTTATTATTGTGAGAAACAGCTATGGAATACCTCTCTGAGACAAGGGTTATTTTAATCTTTATTTTTCCTTTAGGGTGAAATGCTGGTCAAGATCTTGGTGTGCAATATCTCTCACGATGAAGAGCCGGATACCTCTTGTTCTCCTTGCCTGTGGCTCATTTAACCCCATCACAAACATGCACATGCGTTTATTTGAGCTGGCTAGAGATCACCTTCATCAAACAGGTCAGTAGGATGGAGTTTATGCAGCCCTCTTGGGGAACATGGAGTATTTGAAATGAAAGGGAGGTTGGATTTTCCAGTCTCGGGACTAAGGGCTGATTGGCTGTCATTTTAACATGTTCTCATTTTCATGGTCTTATATTTGCTAATTAAGTATGAGATTTTATAACAAGGTGTTCGCACAATTGCAGTTAGTTTTGTCAACAGTTTTAAGATCTCATTTGCAGTGGAAATTTGCTGCATGCTGTAGGTCTGGTGAAAGGGCGCCCTTTGGTACAGAGCAGAAGCATTGATGTTGAAATTTTGGGATTTTATGATGAGGTAGTAATTTAATATGAAGAAATGGTGCAGTTTGCAGTTTTGACTACCATGTAAAACTGGGAAGGGGGGAAAAAGTGAGATTCATTACCCGTATTCATTAAGGGCTAGAACTTTCCTCCCCTAGCAAAATAGTCTACATGAGGGACAGGAGGTCAAAATTTCAGCAAGCTAGGAAATCTCAGTAGCTAAGCGGAGTGGCTAGTGGCCTAGAGAATCCTCAGTTTAAAAGAAAGCAAGAATCTGAAGCAGCACAGTGTTGCTATGAAGGAAAGAATCCCAACATTGATTAACTCTTAATTCCTGAGTGCTTTCTCCCAGAAATTGTCAGGGAGTGGGGATAAGTAATTGATCGGAAGTGGCGGGGGGGGGGGCAGGGGGGATGTAAGGAATGGGTAGGGAGATAAGGCATTTGAAAGTGATTGGAGAATAGCATTAGCAAGAATTGTTTGGTCAAACATGGGGATCCAGAAATGCTGCTAACCTGCATTGGTTAGAGAGCAGCACTTGCATGCTAATGGCATGCTTTGAGAGGAAACAGAGTGGTTTTCTGGAGGGAGAATTGCTGCGCTCTCGCTGTGGTACTAAAGGGTTTCAATCCTCTTTTGGGCTACTGCTCCCCGTGCTGTACAGCTGGACAAAGAGAGTATGGGCAGGGGTAGGAGTGGGTCATGACTCCATCTGCTCCAATATGCAAGGCAGCAAGCTGAGGTGATACTGGAACAGGCCAGTGGCTGATTGCTTTCCCCGAAGGAAGGACTGAACCTGGAAATGAATTATGACTGTCTGAATCACAGTTCATTCCCTGGTCTGCTCTAAGGGCAGTGCAGCCAGGCACTGCCCCTCACTCTGGCAGATTGTTAAATCATAATTTAGCCCAAATTTTATTAGAAATGTGCCTTTGGAAGGTTGGAATGAAAGTTTTGCTTTGCAGTGTGACTTTCAATTCTTTGATATGTGATAGGGTTGTTGAACTGAAATTGAATGAGTTAGGCTGTTGTTGTGTCAGTGTGATGAGTGGTGGAGTTAGTGGGCTAATGTTTGGTGATTGGTATTGTGAGGGATGTTAACTTTTTTTTTTTTTACTTTTTTCATTTAATCAGTGTCAACACAGGTAATTGAGTAATGCACATTGTACAGTACATCCTTCCTTCTGTTAAAACAAATAGACCTGTTGTTCACTTATTTATTTTACACTTAGAAGGTCTCCATCATAAGAGTATCTTCTGTTAATGCATAGAGATTTACTAATATAAATAGTCTAAGCAATAAGGGGAATATTTATCTCATGGTCTTCTGTAGCACCATAAATGTGCTTTCTAAGTGCTTCCCAGGTAAACTAGATCTGCATACCAATAGCTTTGTGGAATCTTCTCCCAGGGCTTTGGGAAGTTTTACTTGAGGTAACTAGATAGATTAAAAAAAA